TAAGTCATACGCTTGGGCTAAATATTGGAATTCTTTTATATATTGTTGAGGGTTGGCAGAAAAGGAGCCCAAGCGTTATTTGATCTGTGGAAGGTCAAGGAGGGAAAAGGGCACGTGGACCCGGACCACCCCCTCAGCCCCTGCGACTTCCCTCAAAGGGCAAAGGAGATCTTGAGGAGGGGGGTCCCGAGAGTGCATATGAGCAGAAATGGGGGACGATCCAGGAGGTGGGGATTAACGGGTGGAGACGGAAGGGCAAACAGAAGAGGAAGCAGAAAGGGGTTCAGAATAAGGGGGAGGGGAAGGGGCTGAAGACACGTGGGGCCGGTGTGGGGGTGGGGCAGGAGGCGCAGATGGAATTCGAGTGGGTGGACAGGCCAAGTCTTCCGGTGGCTCTGAGAGAGGGGGGAAAAGGGTGGGGCTTCAGGGTTTGGGTTTGGGGCTGATGGGGCCGGCACGGGAGATGGAGGGGGGCTCGTGCAAGAAGGGCCTGAAAGGTGGAACACGGGGCGCACAGGGCGGGGCGGGGGCGCGGGTCCCAGAACGCCTGGAGGTATGGAACCTTACAGCACTTGCCCTGGCACCTGCAGTAATTGTCTAGATCCGTGAGGACCTAGTAATCAAAAGTGCCCTCAGGGGGCCATTGAGACTGATTGTGCAATTTGTATTGAGGCCAAGCTGTTGAAGAATAAAAAATAAGGTGTTGCTTTTCGAGGTCTTAAGAAAGTCCTAGAGTCTCAAGATTGGCCAATAAACAACCCAAAGGGGTTTTAGGATCAAATTTGGATTGGGGAGTCCCCATGATCCCTGCTGGGGTGACCCAGAGACCAACAGGTGTCCCCGTCTGGGTCTTTGGGCACGGTCAGGAGAAAAGCAGCTACCGTGAGAGTGGAACGTCTTCCAGCCCTCCGGTGCTGAAGGAAGTCACCTGGTGACTGGAGGAGACAGTCCTAACGCGGCCGCGGTTTCGGACAGGACCACTCGGAGCGGGGCCTAGGATCGAGGGGACTTACCCAAAGTCTCAAGGCGCAGGAGAAAACGTCTGGCTTGGAAGGTCCCGGAGTGGAGAAGGAGAGAGGCCTCCCAGTCCGACTGGGGCCTTCAATCTCCTCCTGGGTTTCGGCACCAAATGTTAGGTTTAAAACAGGGACAGAAAACAAGGATCACAGAGGTGGGCAAGAGGTTCCAGGGAAGCTTTAATGAAAGCGCTCCCGGGCGAGGTTCTGTGGCTTACGGGAAGTGAAGCCAGGGATGTCACGCCCGGGCAGAGGCAGGTGGGGTTTTATAAGGGAGCACCACTGTTGGCCAGCAGCCCTTATATGGTGCATAGCTGTGGAAAGTTAACTTTCGATTTCCTGCATAGGTTCTGTTTTCTCCGATGTGACGTGGACCTGAACCATTGCTCTGATGGCGAGAGATCTCTTGGAACGTGACCTTCGGGTCAAGCGAGAAAGTCCCAGGGGTGGGTCCAACAAGATGGAGGCCCCGGTGTCATTCTGCTGACGTTCCTCTATTCTGCTGGCCCAACAAGCAAGAGCTACCTGTTATTCCTCAACTCCTCCTTTACCTTTCCCCTTTAAGCTTCTGCCTTACCTGAGAACTTTGCTTTCTTGTTGAAGTTCACTTCTTCCAGGAAGTCTTCCCAGATTAATCCACCTGCCTCTGAGAATCCCTTTACTATGCCTCCAAAAGTACTCTTGAGTCTTTCTCTGGGGTGCCTGCTATGTGCCCAGCAATATCACCAATACTGTAAGAACACCTGTCTACCATTTGGAGTCACAGAATTTAGGCCTGAATTGATCATCTGGGGTCAATATCCCTTTAAGAATCTGATATTAAGAGGTTGGGGGTAGAGCATGGACTCTCTACCTAGGGAAAAATACACACACGCACAAAATTTGAAGACAATTTCAGAGGTACATGGACCCTCAGAAGCCCATTCATGGATCCTAGGCTATTTAATCTAATGTCCTTGGCTTACAGGCACAGAATTAGTTGCCCAATCAGTGACGGAAAGTGACTTGCCTGAGGTCACCCTGACCTACTCTCTGCCCCTCTCACTCCACCCAGGATTCCTCCATCAGTGCTGTCCTGTTTCTTTGCAGGCTCCTCACCCACCCTCCAGGCCTGCAGCCCAGCATCCAGGGCAGGGTGCTCTGCACTCGAAGGCTGCTCATTCCTCCTGGTGGCCAATGACTGCTCTGTGAGGAGGGATAGACTGGCTTGATCCTGGGCATACCAGACCTCTGCAGGTGCCGAGGGTGGGAAGGAAGGAGGAAAGGCGATGTGGGATGGGGAGGGCTGCCCAATGTGTTCCTGGCAGGGGGTGCAGGGATGTCACTGGCCCCCTTGCTCCTGAGCACTCGGTATAACGAGTATTGATCTCTGTATTACCTCTTGGAAGGGCAGCTTCATCTGTCAAGCAAAACTGCCTTTGTATCTGCAACACGGGAATTGATCCACAGCAGGGGCTGGTGTGCTGGGGCGGGGGCAGGGAAGGCAGAAGAAGGAAGCAGACTGGAGACGAGATTGATAGCATGATGCTGATGTGGAAAATGAAAATAGAAACCTTCCAGACTGATGCAAAACGCCTGACATGTCTGATGATATTGCCTGAGTTCTGGGATGGGGATAATGCAGCCTGAAAGTTGGCGAGCTGCAGAGGGTGGGGAAGAGGCTCTCTCTGCCTTGCATGCCTGTCTGGAAAGACTCTCCAAAAGTGTGAGAAGCCAGGGGGGCTCATTTTGCTTGAGCTTCATTTGGTTGGATCTATCTAGAGTTTAGTGCACACCTACTGTGTACAGAGCACTGTGCTCAGGGATGCGGGACACATTGAGGTGAACAAGGATGGATTCCTGCTCTCCAAGACCTCACATCCAGTGTGTGTGTGTGTGTGTGTGTGTGTGTGTGTGTGTGTGTGTGTGTGTAGGAAAAGGCTCTTGGAGATAGTGCTTTGGGTCTGTGGACAAGGTTAAATTCAACTGTGAGAGCTGGAAACTTTCTTAGAAAAGTTGCAATATATTGGGCCGGCCCGGTGGTGCACTGGATAGTGTGCCGCTTGGGAAGCGCGGCGGCGCTCCCGCCCGAGGGTTCGGATCCCACATACAGACCGGACAGCTCCTGAATATGGGACGGTTCCTTATTTACAAGTTTTACTATGGGAGGCACATTCATTTCAAATAATCAAAGGAGTACAGATTTTTTCTAGAAATATCAGTATTTCACTCTCCAGGTAGAAGATTAATGAAGACATTAAGTGACTGCCCCAGTTAGATGCAGATAAACTAATACCTTAGAAATATATTAAAAAGGGTAATTATTACTTAAACATGAATTTTCACAAAATTATTCTTGTGGCTAATTCAGACAATCCATTTGCTTAGAAAAGCTGACCTAAAAAAAAAAGCAACACATAAATATGTCTTCATTTAAGTACATGTTTTCAAACTAATTTTAAAAGAAAAGTTGGGATTGGCCGGTTAGCTCACTTGGAAGAGCCTGGTGCTGATAACAGCAAGGTCAAGCGGTCAGATCCCCATACCTTGCCAGCTGCCAAAAAAAAAAAAAAAAAAAAAAGAAAGAAAAGTTGCAATATATCTTTACAGGATGACTAGGACATCATCAGGCAAAGGAAAGAAAGAGAGGACACTGTGGGTAAGGAAGTGACTTAGACAAAGGTCTAGAGAGGGAAGAGAAATGTCTACTGCAGTATGAATGATTTGACACTTGCTGGCTATGAGGGGAGAAGAGAAGGACTTAGAGAGAACTGAGGGTATCTTGTAAGGTACTAGAGGGACACTGATCTCTGTCACCAAGAAAATGAGCACACAGTGAGAAGTATGGACGAGGAAAAGGGTGAGTTTGTTTTACCTTTGTTCAGTCTACAATAAACATGTTGAGTGCCTTCTGTAGGCCAGACACTGTGGCTACTCTTGGGAAGACCATGGTGATCAGAAATAGACCTGGTCCCTGCCCTTGTGAAGCTAAGAGTACAGCAGAGATACAGACATTTATCAGAGAGTCACACAAACACCTGGAAAGATGCCCCTGTGACAACAACAGAGAAAGTTATCGTACTCCAAGACCTTGGCCAAGGGACTGAGAGCTGGCCTGTGGGTTCAGAGATGGCTTCCCTTCCTAAAGAGGCAGTGCATGGGCTGAGATAAGTAGAGAAAGGGTAGAGAAGAACGTTCTGGGCAAGGGGGTGGCACAAGCAAAGACTGGCCAGCAAGGAAGGAGGGACGGGAGAATGATCTGCTGAAGAGGCTGGGGGGAGGGAGGCTGGGCCAAACCGCATGGAGCTTTGCTGGCCATGCTGGGAGTTTTGTCTTTTTCTGAGTGCGCTGGCCACAGCGTGGGAAAAAGCTCTCTCCCACGCTGCTGGTGGGGTGTGAACAGGTACTTCCTCCACGGAGGGTAATTTGGCAGGAGATATGACCGTTGGGAAGGTGTGTACCCTTTGACTCAGCAGCAGTACTTCCAGGAATTTACCTACAGAGATGTCACTTCATACACGTGCAAAGAAACCTATGTATGAGGATTTTTTTTTTCAGTGCTAACTATAGCAGGTGAAACCTAGAAACAACTTAAATGCTCAGGCATAGAGAACTGGTTAAATAAATGAGTATCGTTGTGTGTAATTGATTTCTGGGCAACCATTACAAAGAATGGAGTGGCTTTTGATGGATCTTGGACGTGACTGGCGCCATCGTGCACACAATAAGCACAAAATAGCCAACGGCCTTGTCTTCCACTCCAGCACCAAACCCCTCCCCGCTTCCCTTTACGAGAAGCCTCATGACTTAAACAGAAACCCTTTTGCTCCTGCAAGGGTGCAGTTCTCCACCCTGGTCACATAGTTTCCATATTAGCACAATGCCCCTCCCTGATAGTATCAGCCAGCCCTTGGTGTGCTATATAAGCTCTACCACCCCCACACCTGGTGCTGTCCCCCATTTTGAGGGCAGCCCCAGGCTGCCCATCACTTTGAGCACAACCCGGCAGATTCTTTTCCTTTAATAAAGCTTGATCGGTACCCGGCATCTCGGCTCACTTTCTTTCAGCTTTGTGTGTACCAGTAAGGAATAACGTCCAAGATATTCTAAGTAGAAAAAGAAGAAGAGAAGAAGGGGCAAGAGTGTGTCGGGTCCTGCTTGGGAGGTCCCTGTAGAAAGCCCTAACACCACCACTACCTCTTCACCCCAAAGAGGCTGTCCTCCTCCCCTCCAGGAGCCCTCGTCACACTGAGGGGGTGTGGCAGGTTGCTCCTAGAAACTAACTAGAATCCCTTGGTAAAGAGGCCTTGTGGACAAGATCTCTGTTGACTCAGCAACCCCTTAATCAGGAGACGAGATAAGAATCTGCACCGCCCTCCACCTGTTTGTAAGACTGGGAGGTGTGGAGTTGGGAGAGGATAGTCTCGGAAGAATATGTGACCAGAAAATGCAGTTGTAGCAACAAAAGGGGGTGGGAGGAATTGATCTCTGGAACTCCCTGTCGACTCAAAATGAAAAGAGCAAAAAAAGTGGGGCAGGCAGAAGTGTCTTGTTGGCATTAGGAATGTGCATAAACAATCCATTGGAAGCATCACAATTTCTCTCCCCAACAAGCCTTTGGTTGGGAACGGCTTCAAAGCCCAGATGCAGAATATTTGTGCCTCCTTCGGGGAAGGTAGCTTTGTTGAGTGCATTTGCAGGAGGTGGGGATGGGAAGGTTTTCAGCTGAAGAGTGATCGCTGGGGTATCCTCATCAGTCCTTGTCAGGCATCAGTGTAGGTCCTGAGGAGCATAGGAGGATGAGGTTGGTTCCATAGATCCTCTGTTTTGACCAGTGTGGTCATGGCAGAAGGCCAGGGTGCAAAGCCAGTCTTCCAGACTGTTCAGCATTACACACAACACTTCATTCTGTCAAACAAATACCGCATCTAAAGTTAAAAGGCAAACTATGAACCAAGAAAAAATTATTTGAAACAAATATGACAATGGGTAAACACAAAAAATCCTTAAAATGTAGTGCTCTTCGAGGTCATTAAGAAAACACTAACATCCAAAAAGAAAAATGAGCAAAGAACATGACAGAATTTGCAGAAGAAATACAAATAGTTGAAAAGAATATGGGGGGAAAAATTAACCTCGCTAGTAATCGAAAATGCAAAATAAAGCAAGCCACCAATTTGCCTTTCAATTTGACATATATTTTAAAATTCATAATGCTCAATGTTGGCAAAGGTGAAAGGACAATTGGTTCTGATGATAGTGAAAATCGGTACAATGTTTACAGTAATGTGTGTCAACACTTAAGGTACTATGTGTCAAAGAGCCTTAAAAATATCATTTCCTGGGCCAGCCCGGTGGCGCACGGGATAGTGCGCCGCTTGGGAAGCGCGGTGGCGCTCCCGCCCGAGGGTTCGGATCCCACATACAGACCGGTTCCCGCTCACTGGCTGAGCGAGGCGCGGGAGCAACGCCGAGGGTTGTGATCCCGTTGCCGGTCCCCGGTCCGGTACGGGGGCAACACTGAGGGTTGCGATCCGTTGCCGGACACGGAAAAAAGACAAAAAGACAAAAAATATATATATATATATCATTTCCTGATGATGTCATCACTTCATTTTTTTATCCTAAGAAAATAATCGGGAAACAGATAAAGGTTTATAGCAGTGGAAAATTAGAAATGGCTAAATATCCAACAACAGGGGATTGTTTAAATACATAATAGTACATCCATATAGTGGATTTCATGGACATCTTACATGCTGGTTCATGAAGAATGCTCAAAGATATAAACATATTCTCAGTCTAATGTTAAGTGAAATAAGCAAGAAAAATAACTATGTACATGATGATCTCAATTAACCGAAATGCATGTGCATTTGTGTTTATATATACACATATAAAAGTAGAAAATGATATTAAGGAAATACAGCAAAATGATAACAAAGAAAGTTGGATTGTGGGTTTCAATTCTTTCTTTTATACTTTTCAATACATTTCAATTTTTTATAAGTATGCTTTATTTTTATGATCAGAAAAATTATTCAATAAAAGTTACATCTATTTGCAAGGCTGTGTTAACCATACCAAATCATTAAGTATTGATGTCATCTCTCCATTGCAGAATTGCTATATTCCACAATTGCATCACTGCTAAATTTTACATTTGTTCATACCAATCTCCCACCTAGATTTCCCCACCATGTCTCAACATCCTGCCATTCCCCACAGTGCTTGGCATGCCCTGACACTGCAGGTCTCAAGGTACATGTCATGCACGGATCAAAATTCGTACACCACAGTGCAGAAGAAACTTGTTTTAGCTGCCATGACTGGTTTTGCTGCTAGAGAGCCCCCATTTCCTCTGATGCAGGTGGAGAAAGGAGGTCTTAAGCTCACCACTTAAAGAGAGTGTGGTGTCTTCCAGTTTAAAAGTGTCTGTTGGAACATAATGAATACAGGCTCTCATGAAGTGCACATTCTCTATCAGATTCTCCTATCTCCAATGACTCGAGTGCAGGGGAAACTTGTCCATCCCTGTGGCATGGGGAACAGGCTCTTCTGGCTCCTCCGCTGCCCTCTGTCTGGGCTGCCCTCACTGTCTGTGCTGCTAAGGTCTGGTGTGACCACAGGTCTATTATCTCAGTAAGGATAATGTGTGGGGATCGTCTTCTTGGAGCCACCTGCCACTTGGGCCCCTGCCTCAGCCTGCACTGAGTGCTGTGGGTCCACCTGTGACTGGCTGCCAGTCCCAGCTGCCTCCACATCCCTGCCCACACCTCCATAGCTGGTCCCTTCACCATAGTCTCTGCTTTTGAACCATCTGAGTTGAATTCTGTTTCCTGCTGGACCCCTGGCTGATAAGACAGTGCATGGCACTCTCTGCTGTGGATAGTGGCTCCCAGGCAGCCAGCGTCAGTTAGGGGTATGAATGGCAGAAACCCAGGCAGAGCACCTGCACAACATATATGCCTTTTCCCTGAGACTGATCGGCCTGGCTTCCCACGCCGGGTCTGTGCGCTGCCACCCTGTTCACCTCTCTCCTTTGCCTTCCTCTACAGCACATTCCAGCCAAGTTTCCAAGGTGGATAGACTCAACCGCAGAGCTCAAGAGGCTGTGTTGGTGTCAGGAGACAAGGTCACAGGGACTTACCACTGCTGGATCAAGGATGGCCACATGCACATTCTGAAAGACAATCAGCATCTGTTCTGCTCCCCTCCCAGTGGCTGCCATGCCTCTTTATGAAAGAAACCCTCTCTGCTGGACAGTTTGCTTACAGAGCCTACTGCCCAGAATACTGTCTGGCCCCAGTAATGGTCAGTTTACTGAGGGCAGGGCTGTGATTCAGTCAGTTCTGTATTCTCACTGCTTAGCACTCTGCCTGGCATACAGAAAGTTCTCTGTAAGTACTGACTGATGAAATGAGTCAACACTCTTCCCCTAATCAATTTCCCTATCCCAAATCCACCCTCCTTTGATGGCCCACTGATGAGGCACCTTCCAGAGAAAGGCCTTCTTGGAAAAAGAAGCTGTAGCCTGGTTAGCAATTTTAGGGAAAACAGACATCAGAATCATAATCCAAATTTCCCTCCTTGGGCTGCAGTGATGTGCTAGCTTTTGCAAGGTGAAATGAACTAGAAATAAATAAGATTCCTAAAATCTCCTGTCCAAGCAGAGAAAGGAGGATTCTGAGATCATCCATAGAATCAGAGCAGAGTCTGGGTGGGTGGGTGGAAGGATGGATGGAATCTGTGCCAAATGAAGAATGACTTAAAAAAAAAAAAAGAATATTTGAGAAAAGATATTCTAGAGAGTTTTATAGCTATATCAAATATTTTCAGGGACATTGTATGATAAACAAATCACATTTATCTAAGGTTATAACTACAATCACTGGCTGAAAGTTTAAGAAAGTGGGTTTTAGCTTATTTTTAAAGGGTATTTTAATACTCAGAGCTGTTCACACACGGAGCACACAGTCTGTATGGCCGTGCACTCTCTCTGCAGGCACAGTTTAAATAGAGGCCAAGCGACCCCTAAGGGGCAGTGAAGGTAGATTCCATCTGGTGCACAGAAGCCCTGGAAGGAAGAGTAAGTATTCCTAACCCCTGGTTTCCTCTCTGGCCCTCAGAATTTACTCACAGAGAAATGTCAGAAGGGAAGGAAAGCACTCTGAGAGAGTGGGAGCCCCCAGCCCACAGCACACTTGGGAGCTCAGAGGAGGAGGAGTCACAGCTACTCAGGGTGTCCTGTGACCACTGCAAGAATAATTTCCCACATACCCAGCAGAAGAGCTCAGCTCTCCCCATTACACAGAACAGAAAACTGAGACTAGACAGTGGGAAGGGTAATAATAACTGTTGCTATGTTCTGGCACTTACCAGGCCCGGGGCCGTGTTGTTCACGCATGATCTCCAGCCCTTACAGGAGGTTGGGGTCAGCCTCAGTTGACAGATGAGGATATTGAGGCTCAGGGAGATTAAGTAGCTGCTCGCACACACCCAAAATGGCAGGGCTAGAAAGAACCCAAGCCAGGGTACAATTCCAGACCACCCGGCTCCAGAGCCTCCTCTTCAGTTCACCACAGCCTCCCCTGGGGCAGGAGGTGTCCACCCAGACAGCTTGAGCTACAGTCAGAGCCCCCCTCCCCACCCCTCTTATCTGTCCCCATCACCTCAAACCTCTGTTGCTGGTCCCACCACCCTGCCCTCACACACCTCCCTCCTCTGGTCACAGGCTCTCCTGACCTACATGGAGAAATCTAGTCCAACAATGACAGACTCCATGCACCCAGGACTAAAAGAAGCCAGGGGGCAGAGGAAGTGAAAGTCGGCTGAAGGCCTCCGCTTAAGTGCCCTCCATTCTGCCTCATCTTTGCATTTGGGCTGTGCTGGGTTTGCATGTGACTCCGCTCACAGTTCGAGGACTCTGTGCTTGCTGCGGGCTGGTGATGGATGGAGGATCCAGGATGTGGGAGGCCCGACCTGAGCTCAGGAGATGAGGGTGTGCTCAGCCCTGTCTTTCCAGACTCATTAGTGACTCTGGGAAATGTTTCTCAGACCAGCCCCACTGTGGGGTGGGGGTAGCAGGTAGAGGCGATGAGAGGGGTTGTGCTGATTTAAAAGCTGGGAGGAAGGAGGGACACAGAATAGAAGAAAGAGAGATGCTCTTCAGCTGCTGTGGGCACCATCAAAAAGAGCCCCTCTGATCAGGTGCCTCCCCAACCCATAGCCAACACAGCCTATGCCACAGGCTAAGCAGTGGCCATCCCCAGAGCACCTGCCTCTCAGTCCCATGGCAGGGAGCCCTGGATCCCAAACAGGCGCCATTGGCAGGAAGGCACAGGCAGACAGACCAGCCTGTGAGAGATCCTTTCCCATTTCTGATCTCTGGCTCCATCCTGGGCCCCTAAGACAGTGAAACCATTTAGTCTGCTTCTCATCTGCCACTGGAGCCCTTGGAAAGAAGCTAGAACTAGTAGGAAAGGTAGGTGGTGAGCAGGATTCAATGAGGGAAAAGATGTCGGTGAATGGGCTTGGCCCACCCCATTTGAGCATGAATAAACAAACAACTGCGATGATGAGCGGCTGCCTTAGCACACAGCTTCGCCAGCCAAGAGAGAATTCCTTCAAAAGAACAGAGCCTGGTGCAGGTTCACTATTCATGAGCAGGGCCCACCAAGGGGGCCTCTTGCTTGTTCCAATTTAACACAGGCCTTGGTGGACAGGGGGAGAAGGGCAGGCACAGGCAGGGAGGTAGATCTCTGTGTAGCAGCCAAAAGCAGTAAGAGGTCAGTTTCACAGCAGTAAGAGGTCAAGTTTACAGCAGCCATCTCACAAACATGCTCGGGGCAATCTGTTCTCCTCTTATGTTGACAAAAGTCTGGGTGCTGCAGCCATGTTGGGTCGCT